TGAGGTGGGAGCTTAGGCGATTGTAGACTAAGCGCTCAAGGAGCTTGGATGTAAATGGCAGCAGGGAGATGGGTCTAAGGTTGCTCAGGTCGGTGGGGTCTAGGGAGGGTTTTTTTGATTTTGGGGGTGATGTGCGCGTGCTTTAGGGGGAAGGGAATGTGCCAGTATAGAGGGAGAGATTGAAGATGTGGGTGAGGGAGCGTAGGATGGAGGAGAAGGGTGACCGGAGGAGTTGTGTGGGGACAGGGGTCAAGGGGCAAGTGGTGAGGCAGGCTTCTGAGAAGACCTTAGTGACCTCTTCAGTGGTAGCAAGGCTGAACGAGTGGAGTGTTGGGGAGGTTTTAGTCTGCGGAATGTTAGGTGTGGGGGTCAGGGCGGTTGCGAGGTCAGAGGAGGGGAGAGTTGAGGGGGTTATCGTGGGAGGGAAGCTAGGTGGGGAGGTAGATTGAGCATAGGTGATGTCCTTACGGATTGCGTCGATCTTGTTTTGGAAGTGGTTGGCAATCTCGTGGGCGGTGAGTGAGGTACTGGGTGGAGGTGGAGGGGAGAAAGTAGGGAGTTGAAAGTGGAGAAGAGCCGGTGAGGTATTGATGAGGGTTACGAAGAGCAGTAGTACTACTGCTCTTATCACCTGCTGATACTTTACTCTCCTGCTGACCCATTTTAACATCCCTATTAATGTCAACAACCCAGCTACATCCCAACTCTTCAACATAACCTCATCTTTTGCATTAGCACAATGTATACAGTCCTCCACTCACTTTGATAGGAATACATTAGACCTTGTTTTCTCCCATCTTTGCACTCCCTACAGCCTCACAAACACCCCCTTTCCTCTCTCTGATCACAATCTCATCACCTTCACAGTGTCCTCATCTTCAAACACATCCCTCCAAGCAGCAAACAATTACCCTTCACAACTTTAACCCTGCTCCTTTCCACTCTGCAACTGACCAACTCTATGAGAGAATCTCTCCCGTCCTGCCCTGACCTGGCCACTGCTGTCTACAACAGTTCACTTTCATCCACATTAGATTCACTTACTCCTCTAACAACACGAAGCATCAGGCCCCAACCATTACAACCGTCGCAGACTAACGACACCAGAAATCTTAAGTGACATAATCGTGCACTGGAGCGATTGTTGCGTAAAACCAAATCTCAACAAGCATAAATCTGCTTTCTTAACATACAATTCCTCCCTTCATGCTGCCAAACAAGCCTACTGTCAAGGTCCTACTTTTCCCAGAGGTTATGTTACTCCATGTGCTAGCATCCATCTTGGATTTCTGCTGAGCATGATGGGAATCTTTTATGCCTTCAGGTCTCTGAGGTCCATCCCCCAGAGGGGTGTGGCTGAGTACATATAAGCCTGGGATCTGCACATGCTCTTTGCACTTGTGCCTTGTGTCTTTGTCTTGCTACAGCTCTGTGTATACGCTCGTGACTCTTCTGGTATTCTGACTCGGCTTGTGACTAAGACCATTCTCTGCGTTTCCCTTTGATCTGACCTTCCGTTGCTGAACCCGGCCCGTGACCTGTGATTCTCTGTCTACTGTTCTGTACTGTTTTGTCCCGTTGTTATTGACCCGGCTGTCTGACTACGCTATTGTCATTTCTCACCAACTACACGCCATTGGCGGCGGCCATTACCGCAGCTGGGGTGTCTCGGGGGGCCGCGACCTGGTCCCTGGTTGCGTCAAGTCCATCCCCACCATCAGGGGCCCTGGTGAAGGGCAGCCTGGGACTTAGACTCCGCGCCCTGAGGGACTTCAGTCTGTTGGTGGTGGTTGTCGTCAGCCAGTGCGTTACCCTGCCACTAGGCCTACCTGTCCGTTCCACAGCCCTGCCCTGACACCTACTTTGTCACTCTTATTAATACCTTGTCATCCTGTCCTCGTCGTCTCTTCTCTACTTTTAACTCTCTACTTTCTCCACCTCCACCCTGTACCTCACTCACTGCTCACGAGATTGAAAATCATTTCAAAAACAAGATTGACGCAGATCGTAGGGGCATTTCCACTGCACAGACATCCATCCCACTTAGCATACCTTATACTAAACCTCCCTCAGCACTTTCCTCTTTTGACCTTGCTACTACCAAAGAAGTCACTAAGGTTTTCTCAGAAGCCCGTCTCACTATCTGCCCCCTGGATGCTGTCCCCTCACAACTACTACAGTCACCCTCTTCTTCCATCCTATGCTCCCTCTCTCACATCTTCAATCTCTCCCTCTCTAACGGTGCCTTCCCCTCCCCTCTAAAGCATGCACACATCACTCCCTTACTTAAAAAGCCCTCCCAGGACCCCGCCAACCTGAACAACTTAAGACGCATCTCCCTGCTGCCATTTACCTCTAAACTCCTAGAATGCTTAGTCTACAATCGCCTGAGCTTCCACCTCACTGACAACAACCTTCCTGACCCTTTACAGTCTGGCTTTCGCTCACTACACTCCACTGAAACTGCCCTACTAACACTCACTAATAATCTACTAACTGCTAAAACCAATGGCCACTACTCCGTACTCTTACTACTTGACCTCTCTGTGGCTTTTGATATGGTTGACCATCCTCTCCTTCTCAAAAAACTCCACTCTCTCTTGGCCTCCGAGACTCTGCTCTCTCCTGATTCTCCTCCTTCCTATCGCAGCGCTCCTTCAGCGTTACCTATAACGCTGCCTCCTCCTCTTCACTCCCTCTTTCTGTAGGGGTCCCTCAAGGTTCTGTCCTTGGACCTCTTCTCTTCTCCATCTACACCTCCTCCCTTGGTCACTTGATAAACTCCCATGGCTTTAAGTACCATCTCTATGCTGATGACACACAAATCTTTCTACCACTCATCTCACCCCTTCAGTCTCCTCTCGTATTACTAACCTACTAAGTTGCATATCGGCATGGATGTCACTCCACTTCCTCAAACTCAATCTTTCCAAAACCGAGCTCTTCATATTCCCTCCAGCTCGTGCCCCCTCCCCTAACTTCTCCATCAAAATCAATAACGCAATCATCAGTCCCTCCCCTCATGCCAGGGTACTAGGTGTAATCCTAGACTCCCATCTGTCCTTTCAGTCCCAAATCCAATCACTGTCCAAATCTTGGAGACTTCACCTCCGCAACATCTCCAAGATATGGCCGTTCCTAACCTCGGAAACCACTAAGCAACTTATTCACTCGCTTGTTATATCTCGCCTTGACTATTGTAACTTCCTCCTCATTGGTCAACCTAATCGCAGGCTATACCCTTTTCAGTCTATCATGAATGCTGCTGCCAGACTCATCCACCTTACTAACTGTTCTGTATCTGCCACCCCTCTCTGCCAATCCCTCCACTGGCTTCCCATTGCCCAACGGATAAAATTCAAAACATTAACAATAACATATAAAGCCAATTATAACTCTGCCCCAAATTACATCACCAATCTTGTCTCCAAATACCACCCAAACTGTACTCTCCGCTCCTTGCAAGACCTCCTACTCTCTAGCTCCCTTGTCTCCTCTTCCCATGCTCGTCTCCAGGACTTCTCCAGAGTTTCCCCCATCCTCTGTAACTCTCTACACCAATTTATCAGACTATCGCCTACTCTACTCACTTTTAGGCAATCTCTGAAAACCTATCTCTTCAGGGAAGCCTATCCTGCCCTCAGCTAATAATGGAATCTTCTACTCTTCTAACCAGTCCATCCCCCACAGTTACTACCTTTTGTACCACTAGCCCCTCCCTCCTAGATTGTAAGCTCCAAGGAGCAGGGCCCTCCTATCCCTCTTGTATTGAACTGTATTGTTGCTGTATTGTCTCCCGTTATATTGTAAAGCGCTGAGCAAACTGTTGGTGCTATATAAATCCTGTATAATAATAATAATTATATTATGGTATCTGTATACGTATAATATGTAACAGGTCTTTATTTTTGTTTTTGTTCACATTTGCATGCAGACAGGGCCATGGTTAAGGGGGTACCACCAGTCCTCCTGTACGGGGCCCAGGCCAGCAGGGGGAACAAGGTAACTAGGTGAATTGGATGTGGGCAGGGAGGGTGATTAGCACAGCATGGCGGGCAATTACTGGAATCAATCCCCTGTATGGCTCTGTCAGCTGCAGCTTAAAGCTGGCTTTTTCTCCTTTCCCTCCCACTGGCTTTCAGCTGCTGTAGAGAGAGCCATACAGGGGATTAGTTCCAGTAACTGCCCCCCCCTCCCCACGGCATTCATACCCCTCCTTGTGCACCATATGTTTTCAACTGCTGTCCAAGCCCCCTGTGTGCCCCCACCCCACAGTGCTGCCGGCTTGCCTCCTCTCCTTCCCATCTGCAGCTGCACGATCCTTCAGGATGGAGAGTGAGAGAAGGGTCCAGTAAATATGTCACATTTGCCAGCTCTTTTCTTTCAATGAATGAATACAATGAGTGATCGGTACCAATCACTCACTGTGTTAATTCATAACTGAAGCATAGTAAACAGAGGTTTTTTTTTGGGGGGGGGGGGCTGTCAGGTTGCTATTATGGGCCCTGTACTTTCTAACAGCAGCCCTGCATGCAGACCAAGCTGGCACACTAGTAGTGGCAGGGTCTGGGACAAACTACAACACTGCCATTGGGAAATAAATAAATAAAACATTGAAATATATCTAAAGAAAAAACTTGGTTGAAGCCCCTGTCATGCTTTAAAAGAGAAGTTTGGGATGTATAGAAACCCAAACATATATACTCACCTAGGTGGATGCAGCATTGGTCTGATGCTGCATCGGTCCACTGCCGTCTCTAAGACCGAGAACTGAGTGATTAAAGATCTTTGATTGCTGGGTTCTCTGTGTTCAGTGAGCAGAGAGTTGGTGACTGTTAGTCACCAGCTCTCTGCTCTGCCCCTCCAGTGCTCACTGGAGCACTGTGCTGTGGAGGGGACAGGAACAGCTGGCTCAGGCTCTCAGCGGCATGCTGAAAAGCTGAGCCGGCTGCCAGTCCAGGCATCTGGGTGGATACTGACCAGGGGCGGACTGAAAACTCATGGGGCCCCCGGGCAATAGGGGATCATGGGGCCCCTGTGTCCTTGCCCATACTCAAGCACACCCACCCAAAAAAGCCTATAAAAAGGTACCAGGGGCATTTCATTAGGCCCTCTGCTGACCCCGGGCCCTCGGGCAGTGCCCGAGTGTTCAAATGGTCAGTCCGCCCCTGATACTGACTTTAAAGTCTGGATCTCTTCAGAGCCTGGACATGCTCAGGGACATCAGCTGACAACAGGCTTTAGGGCTGCCAAACTAGCCGCTGACAGACCTGAGCAGGTACTGCACCTTTAATGTCACAGCAGAATACAAGAACATCTATCTTAAAATGTGCTTCTTAGGACAGCAGAAAAATAAAAAATAAACACAAGGGGGTGCAAGCCTAAGTGCAGTATAAAATACAAGTTTGTTAAAATTAGCTAAATTACTACTCACAACTGAGGTACCACTGGAGCCCGGGTACCGAGGGTCTGGTGTAAATGTGGGCTGTCAGTCAGGAACACCGCAACCACTGTGGAAGGCACGGAAAACCGGCCGGAGGCAACATCCAATAGGGACACAAGGATGAGTCAGGTGACGCGTTGCAAACCTTCAAAACTGAGCTCCAGTTGCTATCTCCTCCTCCTCCAGGAAAGAGCTTTAAGCCCAGGAACGTGCTTGCTGTTCAAACTCAGCAACAGAAATTGATACATGTAATCCACGAATCAGTTGTATTGAGTGACAATCCAGTCATCCTATCAGGTCTGAAGAAAAAGTGGACGCTTTGAAACACATCACCTGACTCATCCTCGCGTTCCTATTGGATATTGCCTCTGGCCCGGTCTTCCATGCGTTCCACAGTGGTTATGGCGTTCCCACCTTAAGGCCCACGTTTACACCAAACCCTCGGTGCCCAGGCTCCAGTGGACACACCGATCCCTGCATATGTCATTTTGGGACCCAATAAACGCTCATATACTTACCTCAGTTATGAATAGTAATTTAGCTAATTTTAACAAACTTGTATTTTATACTGCACTTAGGCTGGTGCCCCCCTTTGTTTCTTTTTATATTTCCACAGAGTTTTGCTTTACTCTATGGGGAGCTGCAGCTATAGTGCTTATACCATGGACTCTATGGACTTTTTAATACATGTTTTCTGATATTGCAACCTTATGTCATAGTGTTTATTGTCTTTTCTCAGTGCCAATTACCTGTGTCATTGCTAGGACAGCAGAAGACAGAATATTTTGATATGCAGTTTTGGGAGTGTCAGCAAAAAAAAAAAAGCCATTGCCAAAATGGCAAAAAAAAGAAAGAGAAAAATTGGACCATCGAAACAAAATGTATCATCGTTGGTAGGCAAAAGGATGATTCCTCATATATGATAACATAGACCTGCTCTGTGTTTATATTGGAAGGCCAAGTCAATGCTAGAAGAGGAAACAAGGTGAGCTAAAGCTATTGAGGAGCTGACTAGAACTTGAATACAGGATTCTGCACCTGAAACAGTTTTAAGTGTGTCCACTTAACTTGGAACTTTGGAGAAGTGTTTCCCTGGAATTCCCTAAGACATCATTGACTATATTTGATGTTAATCCAAACATGGGCCAATATCTGGACTAATATCATATAGAGCCAGCGCTGTCACAAATGAGTCTGGAGATATCTACCCATATTCCTTTTTTGATTTAAAATGAAATGGGCAGATGTAAGACACCAAGATATTAATGCAAGTACCCAAGGGAACTCTGGAACTCTACTGGTAGCTCTAACATCCAGGGAGCTCTATAATTGAAATATTGGCTTTAACTTGAAAGCTTGACATGCTAGCTTGCCCTTTTCTCTTAGTGGCATACTCATTTTAAGGACTGCCTTACTAAACAGGGTGCAAGCCAAAGGTAGAGGTCAGCATTTTCATATGTGGGACCCAAGGGTCCTTTGGAGATACACTGTCCTTTTGCCCTTCAGGGTGGCAGATAGATGGACTCATCAGTCTACAACCTCTCTTTTTACTCACAGACTGGGGGAGGTACAAGACCTGTAAGTGTTACTGAACTGCTGCAGAGTTAAGTCAATGGATGGATGGACAGAAATATAAAAATCCCTTGGCAGTTAAACGGCTCATCTCTTTTTGTGGCTCTCCTCACACACTGACACCGAAACTCCTCTACTGTCCATCATTTTTCTGTCATTTACTCATTTTTTTCATAAACAATAATGGAATGGGAGAAGAAATGTCTTTTTGCACACACCTTTATCTGTAATAACTATCTTAGAGGCCTTAGTAGAATGCGGTGGTAATTTGCCTCAATGTGAGTAATGGCATAAAACTGCACTAAGATAACAATTGCTAAAAAAAAGTATAAGCTTTCAGGAAATACTAAATGTAAGCTTCCCTTTTTTCATTTGCAAAAATGTCTAAATGCTGATAATAAACAATGGTGAAGGTTAAAGATGATCTAAAAAGCAGAAGTGATGAAAGGTGTGGGAGATGCAAAGTTTGATGGGTGGATGAAGGCAGAAGTTTAGAGGGCGGATGCACTAAGTGTAAAACGGTGGTGTGAAACAGGTGCTGGGTATGGTGCTTGCAATGTACATTGTGGTATTGTGATTTTGTCTGTATGTATGCAAATATCTGTAATGCATGACTGAATGAGCATTCAATTCCTCTAATCTACATGTGTAACAGAATGTTTTTGAAATGTCAATGCAAAATCATTGCTGAAAATATTATTTATGTCTTCTGTATATATGTAGTGCTGGCATATCGTACAATGCAAGTATGTGTTCACCATGCTCTTCATTGACAAATTAATATTTCCTATACTGATGGCAGAGGGTTGACAAATAACCTCTTCCTACCCAGTTGATTGTTTTCTGGTTTGCTGGCCCAGGAAAGTAATAATAAGACATACTTCAGTTTCTACGTTCATCTGACAGCAAGCTTTACTATAGAAAACTGATGAGGTACACCCTGGCTACAGTGACAGTCTCAGATAATGGTACACGAACAGGAGAAACAAAGTGCCAAAATAATCAATTGGTAGAAATAGGCCAACGCATTTCGGGATCCAGAAAATCCCCCTTCATTGGGGCTGTAATTAGATTGCTGGGGTTCTTGATATGGAGTGTATTAAAAACTACCAAAAGGAATATTTTGAGAAGGAAGTGTACAGAGCTCAATGGCTGTGTGGTGGAGTAGCTACCCTTTCTGTTCAAGATAGTAATTTTAGGAGATTTTAATATGGTCTATATCAGGAACCCCAGCAGTAACATTTCAACCCTGATGAAGGGGGATTTCAAAATCTGACACAATTCTTACTCAAGCTGGTCTTCTTTGCTATCCCACAGTTTGATGACTGGAAATGCCGAGTAGATGTTGGCCCACTCAGCTCATTTCAACTGCGTGCTGAAGCTCTCCCTGGTGCTTACTACTCCCAGCAACACCACTAGAACCTTCACCAACTTATTTGTACAGCCTAGCAAAGATAAGGAAAGGCCATCCCCAGATTGCTTGAAGAAGGGGTGGGAAACTAAACTAAAAGGTACCAAACCCTACACCCTTACATGGCGCCTAAAAGAGAGTGGTATAATATCCATCTATATGCATTCTTAGGTAGAAGCCAAATAAACAGTCAGTCTTAGGTAGAAGCCAAATAAACAGTGGCATCACTAGGGTTGGTGTTGGGGGGTTATGGTTAGAATTTACCATGTAGTGTGTGCGTGTGTGTCAAGGTTTATGGAATGTACCATGCCAGTATGTAGGGGACTATGAATGGATTGTACCATGTCACCAATCCTGGCCTTTCCTGAGCAGGAGGGAACATCGGAGAGGTGTAACCCCTTTGGCGGGTATCGCCGGAAATGCTGTCTGTTCCCCCCTACCCCCATACCAACGCAAATGCAATTAAATCACCAGTATGGGTGAGGATTATGAAAAGAATCCAGATAAGTAAGGACAAACCCATAGAACACTGGGGACATGCAAACTCTATGCAGCTTAGCTTCAGGTCTTAAGACCTCAGTGAAAATAAAAAAATATGCCCCACTCCAGTTAGCTCCAGAGTGATTTTTCCTATTTTCGATGAAAAGTGGAGAAGGACTCTGATGACTGGCACATGAATTTTATATGTGCAGGGACCAGCTTTGAGCAGAGGTATGAGTTTGTGTGTGTGTTTCTGTCTTAAGATCATAGTTTTGCAAGACATCAAGGTATCAGTATTTAACCACTCATCCATCCCCACAAGGGATAGAACAGTTGGATGCAGATGGCTATGTGTTGGCTTTAGATATGGTTTACTTCTTAAAGTTAAAAGTCCCGCACAACAAGGTGCATGCTGTTAGCTTTGTTAACCACTGTGACTATTCCCTACCTACCTATTAAAGCCAACATTCATCTTTTCTTTCACTTCAAATAGTATTTTTGTGCCAGCTTGGTCCAAATGAACTATTTAAAGTGAACAGAATTATTGGGTCCAGCTTTAAGCATCTGCCCAGCGAGAGTGCCTCAGTAAGTAATAATGGTGATTTTATTGGACAGCAAGATGGTGGGTGTGCAGGCCTTAGCCCTAAAGTCAGGGAAGTCAGTCATTTAGTAACAACGTTAAACCAGAGATGGGTCTCTGGCTAATAAAGGCAATAGTGGGCACATTGTGATACCTGCTTTTAGAATTAACTTCATAAAGTGTTCTTTGAATAAAAGAAGAGTCAAATAATGTTTATAAATATTCCAAATGTTCATATCATCTTTATAAAGCTTCAGTACTGTCACTTGTCATTCCCATCAACAGAAATTGTTCTCACTTTGACAGTTTTCTGCTAACTTTAACTCATGTTGTCTTACACATACAATTAAATATGAACTGACGATAATCCATATGATATATCCATGCTGTTCCAGCTGTTGAAGCTGTGGTTGTCACATTTTGAGCTCGGCTGTGCAATGATGATTAGATGAAAATTCATATCTTCTAATGGAATCATGCTTGACTGATTGAATTGCTAGCTGTCAAATATTTTATCTAACCTAAAACCTAGTATCTTAACCACCATGCAAAATAATTTATCATAATATGCCCCATTATAGCTGAACTCCACATGAATATG